GTAAATCATCCAGAAGAAAACAAAGTATAAATTCACTTTCATCATATGCTTAAGCTTTACTGCAATTTTAAATAGTTAAAATAAAAGCGGTGTCATGTGAAAAATTGTCCCTTTGACACAAAAGTCCATGTTTGCTGGAAAAATACAATGTTTGGATAAAAATGCCACTATATTAACTATAGTGTCACCATGTTATTAATCCCCAAACAGTAACTGACTCTCATAGAGCAATCCTCAGAGCAATACTCAGATTAAATGGAATGAAGAGATATCATTATTTACACTATTTACATTCGGGCAACTGGACCCCATCTTTGTCATTGCTATCACAACATTTTGGTCGTTGGGCTCTTCGGCCTTTGTCAGGTGTATACCGATCAGTATCGCCTACAGGGAATTCCGAACTGAACCCTTCATTTAATCTACAGTACTCGTTCCACTGCCCGTATCTAGGGATATTTCATCTAGTTCTTATTTTTAGTTCAGGTAATTTACTTCTCAGCATGTTTTTACTGACTCAAATCCCAAACTTTTGCAAGGTATTTAAAATTAGAAAATAATTCTAGATTGTAAGAATTTCTTTTTTTTTGTGATCATAATGATACAAGTGATACAAGTCTTATTAATTAAGGCATAGCTGGGGGGGGGGAAGGAGAGGCAGATTCATATCTTTTCCCAAGGGTATTTGCATGGAAGCGAATATAACAAACCCAACTGGAATTGGAACTCGGCTCTCCGATTAACAATTGACATTATCCATTATACTACGCAGACATTAAAGCTTCCAGAACCTGGTATTCCCAAGCGGTCATCCATCTAAATACGCGACGGGAACAGGTGTTTCAACATGATATCACCGTAAGACCTATTATTAAATATATGACAAAAAAACTAAAAAACAAACAAAAAAAAACGCTTATCAACCCTTTACAAGTTACTTAAAGCCAGAAAACATTCTAAGATTTAAAAAAAATAATGATTTAACGCCTAGCTGTTGGTGGAAGAAGAGGTATACTCATGCCTTTCCCAAGGGTATTTGCGCGTAGTTGAATATAATGAACCCAACAGGAACACGGCTCTCCGATTAATAATTCCGGGTGTTTATCCGTTATACCACCGGCAGATCAATGCTTACAGCACCTGCTATTTCCTAGGTAGTCATCCATCTAGGTACTGACCAAACTCGACATTGTTTAACTAATTTCAAGAATAAATCAAAATAAACTTAATATATTTTATATTAGATAAATTGAATGGAAAATATATTCAAACCAGAATTCTTATTATGAATCATCACAAGTAAAATCTTCATTTTTTTTACTGTATTCGTTAGATCATAATTAATAAAAACAAAAAATAATATAAAAGTGTATATAACACCATAATACTACTGGGCACAAATTATAAGACAAAATGTTTTAAATTTGCATTGTTTATTGAAGATCGTACTAAACCTACTGCAGTGTATAATATATGACATCATAATATAGCTAAATTGTTCAGTATAATTTTTCTTTAAAGTAAATGAAGGTCTTATTTGAGGGTACACTGATTTATTAATACTGTACTTGTTCCATGGCTCTTGTTCATATAAATTTGTAAAGCTTCAGTATATTATAGTTTTATAAGGCTGTGATCTAAGGCTTTAACTTATCACCGGAATGAAATTACGATTTTGAACCTAAACCTAATCTTTAAACGTGTTTCCTCAAAAAATGGTAACAATTTGCAAAAAAAATGTCAAACCTCAATTTTCATATTGAGCATAATACCACGGTTCCAAAGTCGACCTTCCCTTTTACTCCAAGAGTCATTGAAATTATTGAGATTATTCGGCGTGTGACTTTTCTTTTGACCATTGTTTTTCACCGATCGATTCTGCAACTTTCTTCCTGTGTTCAATTTGTAAGGAAGGGCAAGAGTAGAACGAAGCTGTAGAACGAATCGATAGATAAGTAAGAAAAAGACCGAGATGGGTAAACCGAAAAAGGCTTGCAATAATATTAGCTTTTCTCAAATTATAGAATGTATCTTTCCAGTCATTCATCATCGTCTCTGTGCCCTGTCCATTCAGGACGTGAGCGATCGCGGCCTTCCACAACATCCTATTTCTGGGAACCCTTCGCAAATTTTGTCCACTTACCAAGCCTCCCACCCCTGTCACATTTTCCCCTTCGATAAATTCCGTGAAGGTTTTCCAATCATTACAAAACTGACTGACAATATCCAACGCATTCCAAAAGCTAAGCGAAATATTACGAGACAGAAAAAAATTCGTTAGAAATAAAAAAAAGAGGACTGAACTATTACGTAATAACAATCTTTCGATATGGCAGTGAATGCTCGAAAATTTCCTCAAAGATGAAGAAGAGACTTAAAGCAACAGATGCTAAGGATACCATGAGCCAAACATGTAAGCAACAGCGAGGTTTTGCAGAGAATGAAAACAAAAAGGTAACATATACTTAACATCAGGTAGAGGCAGTTGAGATTTCTGGAGCACCTAATGAGGAAAGAGAGCCTGGAAAACCTGATCCTCACAGGACAGATTGAGAGAAAGAGGGATAGAGGAAAGCATCGCGTAACATACTTGATGATCTTGAACAAATGGATGGCAGAACAGGGTTTATGAGAAATAGAAAAAGACAACACTTATTAAGAGCTACAAGAAACAGGAAGATGTGGAGGGACATGACCATAAAAGAAGAACGCTATGTAAGAAAAAATCTTTCACTATGTAAGAGAAATTGTTTCACTTGTTATAAAATTCTGGCAAGATGAATAATTTATCATAGCATTAATAGTTTCTGTTATTCAAATTTTTTGTTTATTTATGTCCATTTTTTCCTTGGCTACATTGCATTTAATAATAAACTAGATCTCGGCTTATCTATTATTATTATTATTATCATATCATATACTGCAGTATTATGGATCCTGAACTGGCATCTCTGCTTAAGAATTTAATCGCAGTTCTAGATTTGACGGCAATGTCTCTTCATTTTACAGTTCAAATGACGAGATGTAACCATACGTTCTATGCTAACACTTGCATCTCACGTACTTCTCGCTTGCGGAAATCCCAAGGAAAGTTTGATCTTCAAAAATTTAAATGCAACGTCAATCGTTATCTAAGCTTCGAGTGAACATTTTTGATGCGTCAGGCTGTGAACCTTTCACTTGTTTTTGTGTATATAAGAAGACCAGGAAGACCATTGCCGATGTACAAAAACAGATCCAAACTGAAAACGATAAAGATTATGTAAAAAAAAAAAAAAAACTCCGTTGAATTACAATGAATCGAGGTTAACTTTGTACAAAGCGATAAAATCGTTGAAATAAGCCGAGTGAATCATCTAAAAAGAATTGAAAGCAAAGACGAGACTAAATACCAACCACTTTGGGTAACAATCTCTCAATTCTTGCCAGCAGTTCATTTGCTGGATTAAAATATCTTAAGAGGCAGACACAGCAGAACTAAAAAATAGTTGTTGGACACTCATAAGTAGAAATCAACCAGAGAGTTCATTACATCACTCTCTCCCTCCTCTCTTACTCTGTCTCTCTCTCTCCCTCTCTCTCTCTCCCTCTCTCTCTCTCTCTCTCTCTCTCTCTCTATATATATATATATATATATATATATATATATATATATATGCTCAAAGCCAGAAAAGAAACGAAAGAAAGAAAAGTTATAGCGAAAGAGTATAAAGGAGTCAGAAAAATTATGAAAAGAGGAAATAAACACGACATTCTACACACACACACACACACACACACACACACAAACATAAGCACAGATACACACAAAGGTTAAAAATCAACCTAAGACCAATAAACATCGCATAAATTATTTTCTTGACTTTACATTAAATTAGTGAAAATAAGAAAATCGGCAGAAAATTGCAGATACCTCATGAGGAGTGGACCGAACAATTACATAAAGATTCGTCTACGAAACTTTGGTGTCGGTGTGTTAAATATAATATTAGTTAGCTAAATGAAACATTTTATATTTAATAGTATACGAGTAGAGGGAGTGATTCCCAGTTTGTCCGTCTACGAAACTCTGGAGTTGGGATGCTGAAGGTAGTTTCAATCAGCTAAATGACAAATCTTTTACTTGCATTAATTCTCTCTCTCTCTCTCTCTCTCTCTCTCTCTCTCTCTCTCTATATATATATATATATATATATATATATATATATAATAAGAATTAGTTAATTTATTTTTAATCTCGGATTTTTTTATTACATCAAAGGTTATTGTAGTGAGTACTCGTATTTGAAATAGACACACCATTTTTATTTTAAGCAGTGTGTCTTACGTTTACTTATCCGAGAAATCCTGATAAAGAAAATGCGCTCTACGGCATGAATCGAACTCATCTTTTGTAAGGGACACCACCAGTGAAGTCAGTGTGTTTTACTGTTCCCCTACAAAGAGCGTCACATTGCAGACAAGTTTTATTTCCCCTTTTAAGGAGGTCACACCTCCTAGAACGGAGGACGCAAGTTCGATTATTACAGCAGAGCACATTGTCATTATGACGATATATCGAATACGCAGATCGATAGACGTAATATGTAAATTTCAAATACCAACACCCACTATAGTAACGTTTGAAGAAATATATACATGACAGTTTTGAAAAACTTCTCCGTTGACGTGTTTCGCCGAAAATCCGGTGTCATCAGATGAATAATAGCAATGAAATATAACGTTTATAGTACAAAGAAATAATGAAGGATAAAAACAAAAATCTATTCATTCTTTAGAATTTACTTTCTATTTTAGATACGAAAAAAGGCAAACTACACTTTGATATAGTAAAATGTTTTTCGTTGCTGATCTGAAGAACACCTAGCTTAAAAGGTCGTTTCTACAAAATGAATGGAGCACACAAACAGGCGCAAATTCTGAGCTTGGGCAATAGAAAGTCTTAATAAGTCATTTTATTGTCTTGGCAGGTGGATAATATATTCCACCGTTTAGACGCTTATGGTCGCATCACATTGAAAACACCGGTTCCCGTACAAGTTAAGCAACATTGTGCCTGGCAAGTACCTAGGTGGGCGACCGTTTGGGAATACCAGATACAGTAAGTTTGGATGCGCAGTATAATAGATAATGGCTGGAAGTTTTTAATCAGAGAGCCGAGTTCCAATTCCATTTGGATTTGTCATATTCACTTACCCTTGAGAAAGGTATCAATCCACATCTCCCTCCCCCAGCTATAAGTTAATTATCAAGACTTGTATGCTTAGACCATTATTATCCATTCTTACGATCGAAAAATACTTTCTAGCTTTAAATAACCTGAAAAGTATTGATACGCCGTAGAAAACGAATCTATCGATCAAACACAGTTTAAAAACAGTGATATCTACTCAAATTTGGTAACCCCAAATTATATAAAGTTTATCGTAATGAAATGCATTCGTTACTAGTAAATATTCTTTTTGTGGATGTACGTGTTTAAGTTGAGATTTATATTCTCTTATCGAAAAGAATATCTATCCGCTTAGACAACAGAAAGTTTTATTAAAAAAAATGTACCTTACACCCTTGGTCAAGAAATCATAGCGAAGCAAGACTCACTTATCCCTTTTATAAAATGTGGATTTCACATGAGGACATTCGATATTTCTTTCTCTATATAGATAGAAACATTTATATATAGATCTTAACATCAAGAATATCCTTTTTTCTAGGATTGGTTTAACCATTCTATAGAGATCTCTAAAGTAAGGCTTCGTTATCCTTTCTATGATAAGATTTCTCATTAGGACTTTTGATATTTCTATCTATATATAGATATAAACATTTACATATAGACATAAATATCAAGAAAGAACCTTTTCTCTATCCTTGTGTCGGAGTTAGCTCCTCCTTAATTCCCAAATTGTCAGTAGGGGTCATTCTCACTATACTATATATAATGGGTAACTTCTCGACACGTGCTCTTTTTCATTTCTTCATTTCAACAACTGCAATGTAAGGTCTCTTAGAAGATCCGTGTCTTCCCATTTGTGGGAGACGCCGTTAACATTAAACACACATACAAGTACGTACGAACATTCACCAAAATACGCACATTCATCAAAAAACAAACACAAATATTCACACACATATACATATGTTATTGTCTATGCCTATTGTAAAATTGTTTTGTTTAATACATATATTTGTTTATATATATATATATATATATATATATATATATATATATATATATATTCAAGTCCGGCAATTTTCTTGTAGTTTGACCTTTTAATATTCTACCAGGAGTTACACACGTGTTTCTAATACAAAAACCCCCAAATACACACGGTCCTCTACACTTGCTTTAACCACGCGATAACGAAGCTCTCTATTGCAAAACAACGCTTACTTGATTCCTTTTATGAAATGTGGATCTCTTTTCGAAGACTTTCGATGATTATATCTATTGTATTAATCTCCCGTAATCGAAACGCAAACACAGCAATTTTAAGTAACTGGAAGATTTTAATATTCTTGTATAATTTCGCACTGTTGTTGATATCTGTTTCCTTATTAGACACAACGTTTCGACAAAGTACCCTCTGGTCATCTTCAGGTGTCCATTGATTGACTGTTGATTATTACGATATGTTGTTCTTACGATGTCAGTTATTGCCCGTTCCTTTTTAATTGCTACTTCACTGCCTGATCAAGAATGAATTTATGGCCACGAGATGAGAATAACATATGTATAACCAATTCCTATACCTGCTCTGAACGACATTAATGGTGCGTGCTGCTTCAGCCTTTTTTTTATTGAGTGTCAGATGATTTTTGACATTTGGCTATGATGGAGCTTTCCTACCGCTTTTCATCATTTCGTATTTCATTTGTTTTAGCATTTGTTAATATTTTTGTATTACTTCGAAATATTATTCTCGTCTTGGTTGATATAGATGTTATCACAGACACAATCGATGTCCCATATCAAGAAAACAATGGCCACCTGGTCATGACCACAGTTTACTGCGTCGAACCGCCGTGTCTATAATAATATCTATATCGATTAAAACGAGAGTCCGAAATTATACAAGAATATTAACAATTGCTTAATTTAGACATGAAATACTAAATAAAAGATTTTAACCACGCATTTCAAGTCTCCACACAGGTAAACCAAGAAGCCACTTTCCTGACAAAATCGACAGATTCGAACCAGTGTTTCATCATCGTTCTAAATATTCGGCCACGCGCTCACAGTATATACATCCGTGCATAGATTGGTAGAAGCCATGCTCGATCTATGGTCACATTTCCAAAAGCATGACAGAGATTGCTTGCACATATTCTCTCGAAAAGTACGCGACAAGTTATACCTTTGTAGGGATGCAGAAGGCGATTATCTCCCTTTGGTGTATATGTCACGTGCGTCAGGTGACGACCGCCTAGTGGAATCATTTCATACAGTGACGAGAGTGGCCAGTAATTAAGTCGGTTTACAATAGCCAAACCGAGATGTTGCTTTCTTTAGCCACCCCAAATCCAGCAGATTACAAGTCAATGGTGCGGTTTCCCTTTGGGAATATATCTTCTCCAGACACCGAAAAAAAACCCGGTTCGCAGTCCTAAATTCTCAACTCCTCGTTTCCCGTTCGCCTGGGACATCGATGATGAATAGGGTCTGTTTGGATCTGACGTCCTAAACATGACTTCTCCAGAAACACAGAATTATCTCCATATTATATGAAAAACTTTTCGCTCTCCTAAACGATGCTTGCTTTGTAGATATAATATATTATTCTCTGGGTGGGACACATGTAAATATGTATATATATATATATTGATTTGTGTATCTCTTAGTCGTATAAAAGTATTTCTGAGAATAATGCATGATTGTCATTTCTTTTCCTTTCAGATATTCCTGGAACTGCACTGAAATCTGCCAACCTCTGGGTTCGAACTAAAACCACCAAGTAAATCATAGTTTTAATTTTCTTTACGCAGATTCGTAGTTCGTGTAAACACTTGCGTCATGTCTTACCGTCAAATCACGTTGAAACACGTCGTGCGTGGTCAGTGCCTAAAAGGGTAACCGCTTTGTAATACCAGGTGTGCTATAAGCTTGGATGTGCTGATGATGACTCGGAAGTAAGGTTCGGTATATTCGCTTATGTGCAAATACCCTTAGCAAACACCTCTCCTCCCCCATTAAATCATTATTATCCTCCCTACCAAAAAAAAAAAAAATAATAATCTTACATTCTAAAAAAATATATTATTTTCTGCCTTTAAATATCTTGCAAAAGCCATAAAAACTAGTCAATCAATCAAGAAAGGAAAAAAAATAAAAGAAAATAGAAAAGAAATAAAAGAAAAGGAAAAAATAAAAGAGAAAAGAAAAATAAAGTAAAATAAAAAGAAAAGAAATATAAAAGAAGAAAAGAAATAAAAAAAGAAGAAAAGGAAAAGAAAAAGAAAAGAAAAATGAAGCGTGCATCATTTGCGAAAAATAGTGAAGTCAAGCTTATATTTGGAAAAAAGATTCTTCCTATAAATTAGTTTTTCGGGTAATAGTAATCTCCCCTTGTAGGACAAAGCCAAGTTTGTTTGTACGATGGGCAAAGAAACGAAAGTAGCAGAAGATAGAGAATGGAAAGTTTGGAGTGACTTGGCACAAGTGTGGGTTGTCTCATTGTCTATAGACAACGTCATTCCTGAGACCTGGGGCACGGACACAAAATTGGGCAAAAGCGAGAGGCGCATTACGCAACGTCGGTCGGTAAAATTAAACACAATCAAAGAAGACTTTGTTTCTTGGACGAGAATAGATTAGGGCAGGAAATGAGTGATGAGAAATACTTGAAGGTAGAACAAATATTTTCCTGCAAAAACAAGTGCTTAAAACAAATGTCTACAAGAATCTACAATGATTATCACCTCCGTTCGTCCCCATAATAGCAAATAAACAAAGTGTGATAAGTTAATAAAACTACACAACCTTCTATTCTAATGTCACCTCTTGTGCTATGCGTTCGGCTGAAGGCCAAATTATATAAAGTTTAGACAGTTCAGTGTCCTCGATATGCTGACTCAAAATCTTTGTTAATGGCACATACAGGGTCACCCCCATCCAAAAATATGCTCACTCGTTAAATAACAACAAATGCAGTGTTTATTAACTTGCAATCAAGATTAATGGTTAAAATGAAGAAATATTAATGACTTAGATTAAATATTAAATGAAATTAAATGAATATTTACAAAAGGGTGATTGCATACACACACACACACACACATATATATATATGTATATATAAATAAAAAGAAAGAACAGTAAGATATATAATCCAATGTTCTTATAGATATTTTTATTCTTACAAAATAGTGCTCAATGTAAATTTACAGAGCATTAATATTATAAATTAATTGATTTAAAATATGTTTTTTCGCTACACAGTTCTAACCATGTTTCAAAAATGGAAGCTAAAAGCTTCGAATTTAATTTTGTAATGAAATTAAAGACATTAGTTCCATTTCATCCTCAAGCAAATTTTGGAGTAACTTATTACTGGGTTTTAAAAGCACAGCCAAAATCACAATTCACGTTTCCAAGGATACAGAGAAATCCATTCATCTAGACAAGGGGTGTTCATTATCGCTGTATTTTATTGTATCAGTTATTAGTTACGTTTCGGTAGGGGTAGGGATGTATTTTTCAATGAAGTCTGACATCCGTTAAATACATGTCGTCTAGATTTTTTAAAATTTATTGATAACGACAAAAATTCTTACCGCATTTTTTTCTATTTGTTTACTTAAAGATTTGTGGTGGGTGTTTAGGTTAGAATACGTTTTATTTAACTACGATTTTAAAAAAAATTCACTTTTAATTTTTAATATACTATATTTCCTTTTAAAATAAGTAAATGTATTAGAATCACTTACAGTATGTAAAATTATTTTCACATCAAGTATAAATATGTATATTACTAGGTCACAATTTTTATATATATATATATATATATATATATATATATATATATATATATATATATATATATATAAGACATTAGGAAAACTGTTATATTAGACGATGCATTTCATCCTATGTGAACTTTTCAAGGCAAAAACGAAATGAATTTATTAAAACAAAGTAACTATTAACAACAAAACAAAATGTCTTTAGAAACTGGAAGAATTTAGAAAAAGCTATTGTATTCATCAACTGAAAATTATGTGAAGTACTGTCACGTATGGAGATATTGATTTTATTGTGTTGAGGGATTCAACCATTTTCTTGATACAGTGTACGTTTGCTTGAGTAGTAATTCTGTTAGGAAAGGTGAAACAGGGAAAAAGCCCGGGCGTAGATTGATATTTGGATAATATTCAATGGCGGAACTCTCGAAGATTTACCTTCTGAGTGAGTTATATTCTTTTTTATGAGTGCAGCATTTTTAAAATCAAAATTTTGGTTGAATTTATTTCTATGTATGACCAGTGAATTAGTTAAGTATATAAGTTAGGTCTCTTTTGTGCTCATAAATGCGTTTTTTAAATTTCTATTTGTTTCTCCAGTTGAGAGAAACAAGTAGAAATGCATATATATATATATATATATATATATATATATATATATATATATATATATATATATATGACAATATGAGCATTTCAGAGGGGTTGGGTATCAATCTGAGGACAGTGAAGAGGATTTGGAAAGAGTTGGATGAGTCTAATTGGGATTACGAAGTTGTTTGTAGCGATCACTAGTGATAGCGACGTTGTACCTCCATTCATCTTTAAACAAAGTCTAAGACTCTACACGGAGGCCTACATCAAGTGCCTTGAAGAGGTAGTGTTTCCCTGGGTCAAGAGTGTGGCTGCTGGAAAATCCTATGTCTGACAAAATGACTGCACATGCCACACAAGCAGGGGTATCAAGTCATGGCTGTCAAACAATTTCTGTGAACCCCTCACCCCTTACATCTGGCCACCTAACTCCCCAGATTTCAACTGCCTTGATTATTGTGTGTGGGGTGCATTTGAGCGAGAGACCAACAAAATTCATTGTAACACCAAAGGTGAACTGAATGCAAGGATTATGGCAGCATTCACCAAATTTAACAGGGAGACCGTCTAGAAGAGTAGCAGGAGATTCCGAAGTCATCTGCAGACCGAAGTTGAAACCAATGACAACTTTATTGAACAAATTTGCTATTTAATATTTCAAGATATTTGTGTGCAATTTTGGTAAATATATCTGTTAAAATGAAATGTCAGTGTTATTGCGATTTTTTTGCGTAATTAAGACAATTTATCCATCTCACTTTGGACAGTTTATACCTTGCGCCATGTATATTTCGGTATCACCCCATGTAAGGCAGTAAAGCCAATAAGAGACATGGGATTACAGGGTGTGGATGGACTATTTAAACTAACTACTTTGGAGAGCTCTTCATTAGGCCTTCGGCTTGTTCCGGAGTTTGAGAGTCCCTAAGTCTTTGGATATTCTCAGTCTTGGAAGCTCTCCTGGCTGCCGTTTGATGTTTGATTTTCATTTGCATGGAATTTTCTTTTCTTTGATTCTTTTGATTGCAATCTGGCCCTCTGTTGACGGAGATTTGTTTTTGCTAGACAGGAAGGAATTGAAAGACTTTTGGAGAAGAATTAATAAGAAGAAGTAATTAGATAAATAGTAGTAATAGTAGTAGTAGTTGTACTACTACTACTACTACTACTACTACTACTAATAATAATAATAATAATAATAATAAGAAGAAGAAGAAGAAGAAGAAGAAGAAGAAATAGTATTAATAACAAGATGATGGAGGAGGAAAGTGGTGGTGATGATAAAAATATGAGTAGAAAAAGTGGTTAGAAAAGGTCTCTAGCGATAACTACTAAAAAGCGTAGGCAGTGAGAAGAAAAATAAGTATTGGAGAAGAAGAAGAAGAAGAAGAAGAAGAAGAAGAAGAAGAAGAAGAAGAAGGAGTAGATGAAGAAGAATACGAAAAGGAGTAGAAGACTAAGAAAAAAAGATGATGAGGAGGCGATGATGAAGTGGTATAAGACAGCCGAGGAGATGAAGAATAAAAAGATGATGTGGAGGCGAAGAAGAAGAAAGAGGAGGAGTTTGAGAAGAAGAGGAAGAAGAAGAAAAGAAGAAGAAGAAGAAGAAAGAGGAGAGCGCTGATGATGATAAAAATATAAATAGAAGATAAGAAGAGGTTAGAAAAGGACTCCAGCGACAACTACTAAAAAGCGTGGGCAGTGAGAAGAAAAATAGGAATTAGATAAAGAGAAGGAAGAAAGAAGAAAAAGGAATACGCCTCTTTCTTCTACTGCACATCTTCATCTCGAAGAAGTGAAGCAATAATTTGATAAGTTGGAAAAATAAAAAGAATGTTAGAAAGCTTTCTTCACGCTTTTGTTTTCGCTTAAGAATAAAATCTTTATTCTACGTCAGCGGAATTTACAGAATTTTTAGAATGAAGATGATTCAACAGAAAATAAGTAAAGCATCCCCATTATTAAAAGACAGCAAAGAATAGCTCAAGATAAGAATCATCAACAGTACAAGAAAAAACTACGTAGAGTCATTAGCACACACACGTATATATATATATATATATATATATATATATATATATATATATATATATATATACATTTCTCCAACACCCACCATATTTTCCTGAGATTGTTATATTTGTTTAAACTCTCTCTCTCTCACACACACACACAAACACACACAGATTCAGACACACACATACACTTTCAGACCCACACACACGTACACACTGCACAGACCATATGCCATGGAAGACTGATGTCTATGTGGCAGAATGTGATAAAGTTGTAGAAAGATATGGCCCGAGACATATATGGATAAAAACAGAAAGAAAATATTCTTAAAATATAATGGGCATTAGCAAACTATGATACATGGAAAAATACACAAACAAAATATGAATGAATGAATTAATGAATGAATCAATGAAAATTGTCGATAACGGTAGATATGAATATTTAGGGGATCAGTATCAACAATGTGAGATGGATGGACAGAAAGAAGCGAAAATCGGCAGTGTCATGCAGATAGATAAATCGCACAAGTGAGATTTTTCTTCATAAGGTACGATAGCTAGCTAGATAGATAGATTTGAAGAGACTGAGATAGATAGATAGATCTAAATAGACAGATATATTTATTTATATTTAGAAAGAGATAGAGAAAATCAATGAGATAGATAGATAGATCTGAAGAGACATACATATATTTATTTATATATACAGAGAGATAAAAACAATGAGATAGATATATCGATAATGGGATGTTAAAAGACTGAGACAGATAGATAGATAGATAGATAGATAGATAGATAGATAGATAGATAGATAGATAGATAGATAATGGACAGACTGAAATAGATAGATAGATAGATAGATAGATAGATAGATAGATAGATAGATAGATAGATCCTTGTACCGTGGTGTTAGTAAGTAGATACATTCTAATTTAGCTTATGCTCTACGCTAACTAGATTGAAAAATCTGATTAAAAAAAAGAGTACTGCTGCCATATCTTTGCTGGAGCTGCACAATCTTCACTTTCTAGTCTTGATAGTGGCCTTGTGGATGATGATTCATTTTTTACCTGATAGCCCTTTTGCCACATACAAAATTCTTCATTTTACCAACTTTAGCAATCACAGCTAAGACTCACCATGCCAATTACACGGATTTGAACCCTCCTCAACTCCTTCATATGCCAAAAGGAGCTTCTCACGAACCGTTAACCGTTATTTTCCCCATATCTCTACTTAAACTTCTCTTCTTAATCTTATTATTACCATTCATTTAAGAACCTCCTTCAGTAATCCTCTATTTGCGTGGCTCTTGGGCCTTGTATACGGAAAAATTAGTAAAAAAAGATGTGAACAAATTGAGATAGGTAGATAGATATCAACAGGTTGCGATAGATAAAGAGCTATTAACAGACTAATATATTTTTCTATTTATACGTTATTTTCATAGATAAAATTTATTTAATAGTTTTGGCTCTGCATTTACTTAAACAGTGTTGATTACATTTACCGACCTGAATGTTCGAGAAATTTCGTACAACCTGTATTCCTTATACGTGAACCGTTATTTGACCTGGTGTACTGTACCATTCAGTTGCAGAGAAGAGTCTGGTAAGCAAAGTTCAAATAACTGTTTATAAACACACTGACTGTTTCATGCTAGGCGCTATCGTCAAGTCGCCTGGCGATTGCGTCTAGCATGAAATAGACTTTGACTTCAATGTTCACTTTTATATTTATATTTACATACCCTGTATCTCTAATATTGAACACTTTATCCCGTAAATATAGCACACCTTAAAACTATCTATCTATCTATCTATCTATCTATCTATCTATCTAAAGAACGAGATAAAAAAGAAAGAAAGTAAGAAAGATAGATAGATAGATAGATAAATAGATAGATAGATAGATAGATAATGGACAGACTGAGATAGATAGATAGATATATCTGAATTGACATAGATATATTTATTTATATATAGAAAGAGATAGAAAAAATCAATGAGATAGATATATCAATGAATGGATGTTAAGAGACTGTGATAGATAGATAGATTTGAAGAGACTGAGATAGATAGATAGATAGATAGATAGATAGATAGATAGATAGATAGATAGTCAGTCAGTCAGTCAGTCTTGAATAATTTGTGGGTAGACATTTTGGGGGACGTTGGCCATTTCCGGGAGGTTCATTGAGGACGTTACCACTTTTTGACGTTGATCCTTTTCAGAAGTTGGAATTTGGTCAGTTGTAAACAATGCCGTCATTGTTCACGTTGGTGACTTATAAAAAAAAATACAAAAGAAAAACAAAAAAACATTGGCATGTTAATTGGCTTACATTGGCTAACATTAATGTTAGTCACTTTGGGGAGAAGGTCATTTAGGGCCATTGTTATTTACTAAGTGTAGTTTAGTTTAGCCACAAAGCTTCGAGTATTGACAACCCGGTGAGGACTGAACTATTAAAGATTTCCTTGTTCAGCTTACCGTGTTAAGGAAATTGGTTCCCTGGGAATATTGGTCATTTTGTGGAAATGGGTCATTTTGGTCATTTTGGTTACTTTGGGTTGCTTTAGGTTATGTGTCGTTGTATCTGCCGGTTTTCGTTTTTATGTTTTAAATTTCTTTTTGGTGGTTAAATTAAAATAGAAAAAAAAAGAATAAATGACTAAAAAAAGTATCAGTGACTGTAAACTGACCCACATCTTTTTTTCTGAGTGATTAGAAAAAAAAAATCTACGTAATTACAGTGATGCGTGAAAGGGTTAACACGTCAGTGTAAAAAAAAATAAAATAAAATAAACGCTCGAAATCTTAAAATTAACCAGGGAAAGTGAAATTCCCTCACGCCGTATGGTTTCGCGGGTCAACTAACTGGTGATAAGGCGGAGGGTAATGACGCATACCAGCCGAGTTTCTTCTTCACCCACTTGGCTGTGTTTTCTCGCCTTGAAAAGTTCCAACATGGCCTTATTTGCTGGGCACGGCTCTGTTTTCAATCCCTGCTGTTACATTTTATATTTATTTATTTCGTTTTTTTTTTCTTTCATTCGGTAAAGTGCTTGATGACTCATGCTTAGCGTATTCCGAAAAATCTCTGTAGCCTCACCTTTTTGTCGTGACGAGTTAGGTAGTCCCGGGAGCCATTATGATTGTAGTAAGTTCGAACCTAACTCGGTGTCCTGAACCTGTAGTTTGATCTCAGCTTAGCTTAGGTGAGTCATGTGTAAACAGCAGCCAGCGGGCCACAGTTGGCCCGGACAGGCTTTCGGAGTGGCACTGATATGTATATGCGTAAAAATAACGTTTATTAACATATATATATATAGTTTTTTCGTTCTCACTTTCCGACACATACATGACAATATACATGAACAATAATTAAGTACATTGAATTTTGGAACCTTTTTTGTTGATACCGTTTTCATCAGAAACCATTGGCGATTTTCATTAAGGAAGATCATACGTGTAAACTTCATTTGCTGTAAAAATAGGAAACGTTTATAATATTTTTTTTTTATCTGAAAAGAAATATACTTTTAGTAAAAAACATTTTGCATACTTAAATAAATAAATTGAAACAAATCACAGACAGCAGCGTGTGTTAATCGAACTTGTCACCATTGACACTATTTGTTTATATTTCTGAGATGAGGTATTATATACACTATTTACATTATTTGTACTATTGTCCTCATCTTTGTCACCATATTCATTATAACGTTTCAGCCTTCAGTATCTGTCTATATTTCTGAGATGAGGTATTATATACACTATTCACATTATTTGGACTATTGTCCTCATCTTTGTCGCTATATTTATTACAACGTTTCGGCCTTTCAGTATTTGTCTGTATTTCTGAGATGAGGTATTATGTACACTATTTACATTATTCGGACTATTGTCTTCATCTTTGTCGCCATATTTATTACAACATTTATCAGTTGTCAGTTATCTCCTGTCCTTAAAGACACATGGCACAGTGGATAAAGGCGTTAGTGACAGGACCCAAAGAGGATTAGTTCAATACTCGGTTAAGGCAGTGAACTTAGAAAAGGGTATTAACAGGAGATAACTGATAACTGACATCTATTAAACATAGCACGTGGAACAGTCTGCCCCAGTAAGCGAAATAAAGGGTTCAGTTCGACATTCCAACCACCTGAAGGAGGCCGGGGCGTACAACGGCCAAAACGTTGTAATAAATATGGCGACAAAGATGAGGACAATAGTCCGAATAATGTAAATATACCAATATTATATCAAATCTTTTCTCCAAAGTAAAAAAATCGAACTTTCCCATTTTTAAAGCAGATGCTTAGGCGTACGATCATCTGTGGTAGGAAAGGTTACGAAATCGTGTCTAATAATAAAACTGAACAATTATAACAATATAGAGTTATAAAGTCACTGTATCCAACCAATGCTTTTATCAACTGGGAAAAACGGCCAAAACGATGTGAATATGGAAATAAAGATGACGACAATAGTCCGAACAATGTAAATAAATTTTCTTTATTAATTTTCTCGAATAAATTTTCTTTATTAATTTTTAATTCTCTCCATATTTTTTTTTTTTTTTAATAAAAACAGATCACTTTAAGGTTCCATGTAATAAGTTATTTCACCACAACCCTTTTAAAGGGATCCGGATCATCAGACTTTACTTCCAAAAGTTGAAATGAAAAATGAAACGAAACTTACACATTTTTGACGGACCGCACCAAGCGTATGTGAAATTAACGAAGCGAGGAAGTGAGGTGGGAGAGAAGATATGAGTGAGTTAGATGTGGTTAAAGTTTGATATAAACCTAAATGTCTAAAAAATCTACGAAGAATTTAATTTGAAGTTTGTTGGAATTTTGGGTATTTTCTATGGAATAGTCGATTGGAAAAATTCATAGAAAGTACATTGAAAGAATAATCCATTTTATATCTAGTAATCCTTTTTATTTTCCTAAACTTTTTTCTTATAGCTTGTTAAGTTGACATCTATTCGTTTGATTCTTGTTCATAAATTAAATTCGTGACTGTTTTTAGATACCTAATTATCAAGATTTATTCCAATTCAAATAATTTTATCATCAATAATGATTATTAAAGGGTAATATATATCAATTTAAATTAAATTATCAATTTTTGTGGTGAAATAACTTATTACATGGAACCTTAAAGTGATCTGTTTTTATTCAAACATATTTGCTCGGAATTTACATTGAGGTGTCTGGACATCCTCCTCCTTGGGTCTACCCCTACGGATTATCTAGTTTTGCATAAACTATATATATATATATATATATATATATATATATATATATATATATATATATATATATGTTGTAATAAAAAGTAAGAACAGTAAGCTATATAATCCGGTGTTCTTATTGACATTTTTACAAAACAGTACTTAAATATAAATAATTTACAGAGCATAAATATTATAAATTAACTGATTTAAAATATGGCTTCTTCGCTACACAAGAATTACCATGTTTCAAAAAACGAAGCTAAAAACATCAAATTTAATTATATAATTAAATTAAAAGCATTAGTTCTGCTTCATCTTCAAGCGAATTTTATATATATATCCAAATAAGAGAAAGAACAGATGGAGTAAAAATCAACATTTCGTAGCATTTACTTTTTTAAAAAAAAGTGCTCAATACAAAGTAGATCATAATATTATTATAATATTTTTATTGTAATAGATTATAATAAAAACATTTTACATCGCTACACAAATATACTATAGTAGATAACTTGTGACAAACAAATCGGTACCTCTTTTGGGAAGTTAATGTGGTCACAGTTTGTTAAGATCACAATTAAAAATATACTTGTGGACATGTCAGATTAACCAATTAAAAGTCAGATCTACGCTAAAATAGAAAAAGAAAATTAGAGGGTGGAGGTGGGTTAATAATGTCAATATAAACTGACGTTTGAACATGCCATCCAACGATCGTAGGAAACATGTCAGCAGAAAATGTATCATGGATGTAGCCAAGTGTGATATTTTAAGCAAGTCTCTTTTTACCAAATTTAAAAAAGCATATGTTTTTCGCGAGAGCTCATATTTTCTCAGTTTCGTATTCGAGACGTAAACAAACCAATTTGGAAAGAATTATTGGATTTATTTTTAAAGCGACAATTTTATTTTTCAAATGTTATTATTGTGAACTCATTTTATTTAAAATAGACGCCTAGAATTTATTTATTTATTAAACAGTACGTAATTCATTTGTTGCCTTTCGCACTCGAAAAATCTAAATAAAGAAAATATATCCTCCGGATGGGATCGAAACGCAGACACCATGACAAGACAAGTAATGAATTGCTTTTTGTTTATCGTGTTTTGTGTAAGCTAATTTGAGAGAGAGAGAGAGAGAGAGAGAGAGAGAAGAGAAATAAATATGAAAATAACGAAATAGATAGATAGGTAAACATATATATATATATATATATATATATATATATATATATATATATATATATATATATATATATATAAGAAAAGAACGAGATAGAAAAGGTATTAAAATTAGTATATTCTGATTCCTTACCGTAAAATAATACTTAAGTTAATTAAAATAATCATTTTCGATTTTTGTCACTATTATACTAGGGAATCGAAATCTAACCTCATGTATGACGGTCAATGATCCTGTCAAAGAACTGGCTTTCGTCGTTTTCATTAGATTAATTAAAGTGTCAGTATCCGTTAGTATCTAATAGTCTTCCTATGTGTTTTTTTTTTAAATTCTAATAAATCATAATATTTAATTTAATGATAAAATTTCCACATCTTCATAATATCCGTAGAATTTCCAGATTGTTAAATATTTGAGCTTAAAACTCTGACAAAATATTGCAATAACCATCATAATGGAATGTCGAACTGAACCATTTTTTTTAAGCGTTTCACCCCAAGCAAAGCGGGAAGCCACTAGGACGCAAGGGATTACAGAAAATTTGGAACAAGATCAGATAGGAGTGATAGAAGAAAGGATGAGGAGAAGGGTAATGGATAGATCAAGGCAACTGGAGATGTCGATTGACATTACATTTGACTAGCTGGAGATTATAGCTCTCAGGGAAACTAGAATAGGGAAGGGAGTTCCACAGGCGAGAGGTGCGAGACATGAAGCTATTGGAGTAGAAGAGACGGCTACATTTAGGAGTTTCGACAGTGAAAGGGTGAGAGCGGGATGCCAGCCTCGTCGGGTTTATTTCACTTAATGAGGTAGACTGTTCCACGTGCCATGTTTAATGGATGTCAGGTTATTATCTAAACAGGAGAGCATGAAAGAAAAGATACAGAATTGACAAAGTTTTACTGCATATTTACATATATTACTTGTACTTTAGGCATAATCAGAGCTATTTTGCCTTTGAGACAAAATGCAAATCAGTGCGATTTCTTATCATCAGCATGGTTGCATATTTCCGAGTACCCCCTTCTGTTCTTCAATAATCAGGAAGACAATCTAAGGTTTATAGAACAACTATATTGATTTAAGTTACA